AACGTTGACTATGGTGTTCGCCAGTGTCATTGCAAGTCTCTCACCGTTTCTTCTCGAAAATGTATTCGATTCAGTTCTGCATAGYTAATTAATATTATATAGTTGATGAACTATAACTTCTGGACCTATGCATTGAAGATAAGAGATTTTTTAGCCTATTTTCCTTGAAAAAAAGTTGAATTCATGTTCAATGGCTATCTCCGGAAGCTCAAAGTTGTGACGGCGTACTTTGGTTATAAATAATAGTATATCAAAGTTTTGTGATCAGGCATCAAATAAGCTTAATATTTTGAGCTCAGGGATCAACGTTTTAGCCTTGTGGTGATCTGGGAAGCAAATTACAGRTCAAAAACCTTTTTCAGGGATTTACAGGTATCTTGGATAAAATTGTCCGTATCCTTACGAACGGCGTTTTTGTCACCTTTGTACATATTGTAAATGAAAGATGACTCTATTGTAAAAATAACTACTAAGTATTGTTTTAATGTTCTAAATCTGTACAATAACTTAGTCAGCTAGTATACCTTGTTCACCTCCTTTGTTTGTTGAAGTTAAATATTATGTTCCAATGTACCTTTTTTTGGTATTTATGGAATAAAGAATTATTATTATTTTTTGTAGACCATAAGATTGGGATCCGACTAAAAAGCCTTTCTACTTCGTTCTTAGGCTGACTTATCACTCAAGTTAGTTTAAATCATTCTTTATTATTTATTTATTCATTTTTGACATGGTTTTAATATAGTCAAGTATTGTTGCGTCTTTAGCTGGACAGAAACAGATGTCGAAAAAGCATCTTGTCATCGAGGAAGGGCCCAATGGCTCYGTTGCAATGTCTGAAATTTCTAATGGGACCGAGCAAGTCGAGCTGGGCCACACTAATCTAGCCGGCATGGATACCCCACAACGGCGAAGGAAACTCACCTCGATATCGATGAATAGCAGTGAAGGTAGTGAGGCTGAAGTCGCGGGTGAAGAGTCTGGAGACGACAGTGATAAGGTAAAACTCCACAAAATATTGATACTATCAAAGCGAGCTACAAGTTAGCAATATTGTAAAAAAAATACCACGTAGGCTCTTGTTTTTCATGTGTAAACTRATGTGTGGTCCGAATCTAGTATAAAAGACCTTCACAAACATTGAAGACTCCATTCAAAAGTGCTACAAAGCCTAAAAAATAATAACCACATTATTTGTGAATTCAAAAACCTGTTCAGACTGAAAATCCACATTCCTGTACGCGRGGTTTTACTGTGTTGTACAGGCGCTTTTGAAATATCAATCTTCATGTTTATAATAATRATAATAATAAACTTTATTTTTGTGTCATAGATTACTCTACCTTATAATAGTAAGGCTAATTGGGGACACCTATCTAAGCTATTTTATTGTATATAAATATATAAAAAGAAAATACAGCTGTTTGCAATAATTCTGACCCCCCTACACTAATATTCATATATATCAAAGTAGCCTTAGAAATTATGGGATACCAATGCTGATATTTTTTTAGAAAGTACTCATTCTGGACAACTCAAAAAATATATCAGTCATGATATCCCATAATATTAAAGGTCAGTTTGATATATATGAAATATGGCAGAGGGGGTCAGAATTATTGCAAACAGCTGTATATAATACAATTCAGTCCCTCCCTATGAATACCCATACAAATTGTACTTATCTTACTTTTAAGATAACGCCCAAGCGAAGCAAAGCACAGCAACTTAAAGACGCAATTATGTCTGGAGACATTAGTGAAGTGGAGAATTTATTAAACCAAAAGATTGGTAAGTATAACTTTTCTTAAAGACCTATTATCACCCTAAATGCTTTGCAACCGATTGATTATATGTTGAAAATAAGTGCTTGTTTCAGGACTCTAGCCTGTGTAGATTTCTATAACCTATTAATTACATATCAGCACATTATTCCCAACTCCCCAATTAAGAAAATAACTGGACAGGTAACTATTTAGGATTGGATAAACATGTTTGTTCTTTTAGATGTCAATCTAAGTGATGGCTTTGGGCGTTCTCCTTTACATAACGCCGTTCTGAAAGGCATTCCTTCCATTGTCGATATTCTTCTGAAAAGCGGAGCAGATGTCAACAAGAAGGACGACCGAGAAGACTCAGCCGTCCATTATGCAGCACGAGTTGGTAATCCACAAGTCTTGACGGTAAATCGTCAGGCAGAACGCCTGGCAATCAGATCAGTCAGTCAGTTGGTCGGTCAATCTATGCCTTTTTAACACTCAAAGCACTTATATTTCTAGCTCATTCTGTCAAACCCCGAATGTGATGTGAATCTAAAGGGGAGTAGTTTAAACAGTCCTCTGCACATTGCAGCAAGTCTCAATAAACCGGATCTTTGTCAGATACTGGTAAGTATAAACATGCTTTAATTGGTGTCCGACAACCCCTCCCTACCCCACTTTTCCCCCTACCCGAAAAAAAAAACGGATTTTATATATCCTGCCTTGAAATTAGAATTAACATTTTGCGATCAACAAATATTTCTTCATAAAAACTGAACAAAAGTATTTTGTTTTTATGAGAACGCAGACTTTTCGGTCAGAACTCTGACCTTCCTCAGTGCGTTGTAACAAATGGTTTTCACGCGTAAGTTAACGGGTTGAAAAAGTATTTTAAATTAGCGCGCGCGATTAAAAACTTAAGCTAGGAAAAAAAAAAAGAAAAGTACTTTTGTTCAGTTTTTATTATGACTCTTCCTAGCTGCAATTTTAAAATATTTCTTCAGTTAGAGTATCATGCCAATCCAAATAGCCAGGAAGAGAATGGCAAATCCCCACTTGGCCGAGCGGTTGAGAGTGGAGCAGCGAATTCAGCCAAGTATCTGTTTGAACATAGTGAGTGTATCAAAAGAATAAAACAGAAGAATTTATATTAAAAAAACGGGATCCAAAGCCGGTTTAGATTATAAGTAATTTACTTTGCCCCTCTTTATAATAACGATCAATATTATTTATATCATTACTGATTTATTAACCTTTTTTAGTATAAATCTTGTCAGGCATTCTATATTAAGTAGTTTTTTTTTACTTTTCATTACTTAATTAAAGTATAATTATTTCCTTCAGTGAAAGGTCTTGGTATACCATCTGATACGATATTGTACAATCAAGATTTCGATGGCACGACTCTTCTTCATTTAGCTGTGGACAGTGGTTTCTCGCAGGTAAATGCGGACATTCCATGTAAAAATTATATATTGCGTGATAATGTGAATACTTTATTTTTACAGTTCCAAGCGCCATCTTGAAAGGTAGCTGAGGCTTTGCATCAAAGCGAGACTGAAGTTGAGCTTGCAATAATAGAAACCATTGAATATCTGCAGGTTCAACTTCTGTTCTCAACTTCTTGGTTACCTTTCAAGATGGCGCTGGGACTGTAAAATTGAGTATTATGCCTAAAGTTTATAATTTATTGTAATTTTCAAACTCTTTCGTAGGTTGTTGAGCTGTGCCTGGAAAATGGAGCTTTAATAAGACAACCAAGGGTAAATCAATCAACTTTATGACAAAATTACTTATTTTAAAGGCATTAGTTGATAATACAGTGTAGCATCTTTAACTCAAGTATATGACGTCACTATATAACTAGGACCCATTCCTCTTGAGCCGAATACTCGGGGACGTAATTTCAATGGCTGACGAGAAAGTTATCGCGGATTTTTCAAACTTGCCTTTGCAATATCGGGATAAAATTTATACCAGTTATTAACAAAGAAGTAAAGACTACTTTGGGAAAGTTTTAAGTCTCTACGAAAAAGTGTCATTTTCGTCCAAGTTGCACTTTAATAGATTCTTAACAGTTTGCTTTGTTTATGAACTTGTGATCCTGATAAAGTGATATTCCCAGTCGCCATTGTCGACATCTTTTACTAAGACTTTTGGGCTTCCTCATCTACCCTCATTGCGTCTTTCACAAACGTTTGTCGCTTTAATCTCTGCAGTCATGTTTGGATGAAGAAGTACTGCATGATCGTTGTTTTAGATTATTCAGTGTGATTTCTTAAAAGACGTAAGTAGATACTAAACCAATACAAGGTTGTCTCATGCCTGTACCTTTATGTCTTTCAGAGAATCGACAGAACAACAGCATTTCATATGGCGTGCGAACAAGGCTCTACGGCCATCGTACAACTACTGGTTCAATACGATCCGAAGATTTCCAAGATTCTCCTTGTAAATGCTGAAGGAATTACACCACTACATCAAGCAGCCTTGAGTAACAGTCATGGGATTGCTGAAATTCTTATTAATAACGTACGTAAGATGATAAACTGTTTATACAAGTAGCTAAAGTTACTAATCGTAGCAAAATTTTCAGTTTACTAAGAAACAAAGAACGTAAAGTTGTCCTGCGGCCGCGAACAAATTACGCTAAGAAAATGTTTACTTATACACCCTTTTAATAAGTCCCGAGGTATTACATTCTCCGCACTTGACGTCAAATTTATTCTTTTGAATTTCTTTTGTATTGTAAAAATTTCAAAAGAATAAATTTGACGTCAAGTGCGGAGAAAAGAATGCCTCGGGACTTATTAAAAGGGTGTATAGTGGTGGCTTTCTATGGAACAATTTGCCTGCTGAATGAGAAAAGCCACCACTATGAAATCGTTTAAAGCTCTATATACTTATCACTCCGAGTTTTACATTGAATTTCACATTCATGATTATTATTATATTATCACTGTTGCACGGCATCCTTGTAAAGCAGGGTTTTTATTTTGTTTATTAATATATAGCATATTTTATAGATTCAGATAGATTATATAGCTTATTATAGCTTTAAATATCTTTATTATTGTGTTTACCTGAAGGATTCTCCGTGGATAAGTAGAGGATATTACATGGGCGCGCGGAGATACGGATTTTATCTTCAAGTGTTGAAAAGATTATAGCTGAACACGAATAATGGGCAATTTTTTTAGTGCAATTGAGCCGTTTATTTTTTCATTAATTTTTAGAACGACATTAGAACGATTTCACATAACCGGATAAAAAATGCTAATGAGGATCAATTTATGCTAATACACATTGCACGATGAGAATGGCTTGTATCAAGTTGTTGTCCATGTTTGCAAAAACTAGATACAAAAATATTTTAATTTTTTTCGCTTACGAAGTGTAGTTCCTTAGTGTGCACATTGGAATGCTTATAAAAGCAAATAAATGTTTTATTTGTGCAATTTTTGCTGCTTTTGTTGTCGTCTTAGACATATTACAGATAAACAGAATTAACATCAACATATTTGTACGTCAAATAGGTAAAGCGTTCATCAATATCGTTGTTTTTCCCCGTTGAAAATCGTGAAATGTGTATTAGCATAAATTGATTTCCATTAGCATTTTTTATCCGGTTATGTGAAATCGTTATATTAACCTATGAAGTTAAATATATTCCAGGGTGCTGATGTCAACGCTCGTACAAATGAAAACAGAACTCCTCTGATGTTCGCTGCAAAGCGTGGCGGTGTTGATACCGTGAGACTTTTGCTGGAAAAAGGCGCCGATCCAACACTAAAAGACATTGATGGTAGAACAGCAGTCTACGATGCTATAGGCTATCCAATGACAGCGGAAGTTATACTGGAGGTTGGTGTTAGCATGATTTTATATTTTATAAAATAACTACTTTATTGTCTCCTTCACAATTCCTTGCGCCATCTTGAAAGGTAGCCGTGCCTTTACTTCGAAGCGAGACAACCGTTGAGCGTGCAATGATAGATACCAGTGTGTGAATAATTGTCTGTAGGTGTGAAAGAAGGTTTCTATCATTGCACGCTCAACGGTWGTCTCGCTTCGATGCAAAGGCACGGCTACCTTTCAAGATGGCGCAGGGAACCGCGAAGAAGACTATTGGCTGCGACTATTAAGAGCATAGAGACAAGGCTTTCAACGAAGAGATACTGTTATTTCATAAAATCATTAGAAAATATGTTCTGTGTTTTCTATTTTTTTAATTACAATTTTTTATTACAAAATTGCATTTACATATTGCAACACTATACAATACAATACAATATATAGTTTCAATTACAGTCATACACACACATGGCGTATCTTTTTCCATCTTATATATATATGTTATTTGTTCATCATGTTTGCATTCTATTTCCATTTTTCCATTCTTTCACTGACCGTATTATATTATACTTCGTATGTTTTCATACTTAAAAAAAAATTCTGTGTTTTCATTGTCTGGAAACAGCTTTCCGTGTCACCAAACATTTAACACGAAATGTCCTCTAAATAAAACATAACTACAGAATGATTCCTGCTTTTCAAAGGATGATCATGCCTTGCGCTCAAAAATTGTCCTTTGACCGGCCTGTCTTTTTTAAATTGTATTGTAAATATTCCCGCAAATCTCATTATTCTATTTTTGTTAGGATCCCAAACTTGATCCAATGTTAACAGAAAAGGATCTCACTGGTTTTTCAGTGGCTCATTACGCAGCAAAAAGCGGGGATGCTAAGGTGTGATGTAAACGATTTTATAAAATAACTTTCATATTACGCGCGCTCTGATTGGCCAAAAAGCCGTGTTTGATGAGAGCATAATACACGCTCGCGTCATTTTTTTTCTCGGCTTTTTTTTCTCATGAATATTTGAGCGCTTGTTATTTTAATTAATTCATGCCTGTTATGCAGATTCGAATTTAATTGTGTAAATAACCTAAAATGATATCTTCATGTATAATTTTCAGTTTTATTGATCTCTATATCTTGTCTTAGAGTATGTCGCTGTTTCTTGAGCACAACAAGGCAGTTGGAAGTACAGTGTCTGATCAGCTTGATACGCCATTACATGTCGCAGCAAAGTACGTATATTAAATGACTGAATGACTTCACTTGCTTTTTTATCAAACCAACCCTGTTTTGGACGCTCTCCAAAGCTAGGGGAAAATTTTCTTGCCTTTTTTAGTCAGTCTGTTTAGTCAGTCTGTCATCCTGGGTTAACTATTGTTGGGTTACGACCCTAAAACCTATTAAACTATTGCTGGATAAACGCCAATGAGGCTTTATTGGCCTAAATACAGTAGATATGCAGATATACTGTGAAGGATTCAGTTATATCATAGGTCATGAAACCTATGCCTATGGTCCACAGCTATATTCAGTTATATTGTATAATTGTTTTTGTGTGTAACACGTAGGTATGGAACTCACGAGGTTGTACGAGTAATCCTAGAAAAGCAAGGTGGAAAAATTATCAATGCTCAAAACAGTCGGAACAGAACAGCGCTGCATCTTGCTTGCAGTGGTGGGCACTATAAGGCGGCCATTTTGCTTCTAGATAAAGGTGCCACCATTGAAAGGTACTGCTGAACTACTTTATTTGCTCAATTATTACTTTACTTTTTCCTTCTCTATCACTACTATACATCATACGGTTTGGTTGTTTACATAGAGATCAAAATAACCGGACGGCATTACACGAGGCAGCGCAGAACGGCGCCAAGAAAGTGGTGGAGAAGGTGATCTCCAAGCATTCACATTGCTTGAATTACGTCGATGATGACAAGGTAAGTAGTGGGGGGTCGGGTGGGGGAGTGGTCACAGGGTGCCAGTGCTAGTGCCCCCCCCCCCCCCCCCCCTTTCTTTCAAAGTCAAAAAAATGTAACCGTTGGTGTAATGTGTAAGGATTTGTTTTGAATTAACTTTTTAAGTTAAAAGCAGTTAGGAAATTCTGTACTCTCGGGGCCGTTTCGTTTCAATTCAAATCAAAAACCATAGATTGATATGACATCATATTGACTGCATGTGACGTCATAGTGATATTTTGGTATGTAAGGGCCTCCCAATAAAAATCCTGGACACGCCACTGCGCTTAATAATTTTATTTATAATTATTATTATTATTTTTTCTTAAAAGTCCTTCTTTTCAACAGAACACAGCACTCCACTTGGCTGTAAAAAATTGTCGTTCCGAAATTATCCATCTGTTGTTGTCTTTACGGAAGCAAGAGATACTGAAAAATACATCTAACCAGACCATCCTGGACCTGGCCGTACAGTTGGATGATTCAGCAGGCGCTATGGCCATTGCTCAACATGATAGGTAGTGTATTTAATCGAGGAGTATTGTATAGCAATTACCAGGACCAAGGAAGTACCCAGGACCTCGCATTCAAATTCTCAGTATGACGTCACATGGCATTAATCTGACGTCATACACATATATCTACGTCATAGAAATCTTTTCTTTTAAACACATAAGAATAATGGAGAAATATGAAGAAACCAGTTTTCCTTATCTGATAAAGCATACTGAAACGATGATAGTGCAACTGTTTTCCACTTTTCTAAATTTTGGCAACACTGATCCCCCCCCCCCCCCCCCCACCTCTAAATACGCCCCTGGTAACCTAGTGTGACTTGTGTCATTCACTGTATGAACTTTAGACTTTATTTATATATTTTAAGGTGGAGAGAAATCTTGGAATCATGTACACATGGCGTTACAAACATGATGAAAAAACTGTGTGTAAAAATGCCTGATGTTACTGAGGTAAGTTGATGAAAGTATAAGTGCTTATTAAAGTTTCATATTATTACTAGCGTAAGTTGCTGAAATTTTGCTGGAACTAGTTTTAGATTCATTTGTTATTTGCATTACCCTTGCACTTTTTTGTGTCCATAATAGTCTCCGCGCCATCTTGAAAGGTAAC